CCAAGCTTGTCTAACTTGTGGGGATTCTAGCCCAGTGGTCCTCATTTTGCAACCCGTGAAGGGTTGCATTCACGTTTACCTTAAAACAAATGAGCCACATCAGTACAGTATGTCCTGTGCACAATACCAAACACACACACAGAATAATATAAGAAATAACATTTAATTATTTAACTGTAACCTTTTAAATTACCAGAGTACTTTGGAGCATGGTAAGTTTGTCTCTCCCTACTACTGGTAATCCTCAATCAGCCTTTGTGAATCTGAAATGAGGGGAAGAGGTTCTGTCTCGGTCTTCTCACGCTCTTGGTATAAAAGGAAATGTGTGCGTTAAGTCCTTAACTGGATTTTTATTTGTTTTCATAGCCAGGTTATGATGACATCAAGCCAGAATGGAGACTCTCTCTTGAAAAGCGAAAGAGAATTAAAGGTTAGTCTCATAGTCCTGTTACCATGGTCAGGGGGTTGCAGTGTGGGGCAGAGGGGAGCATACTTTTGTTATGTCACTTTGTTCAGTAACTCTGTTAAAATAATAATTTTTGGCTTCAGTAGCCCCTTTAAAACCTTAAAGTTCTTAAAGGTACTACTGGACTCAAGATTTGTCCTACTACTTCAGATCAACACGGCTTCCCACCTGGATCTGTTAAAATAATATAAAGGGTAATAGTGAAATACTTGCTCACACCATGTGCATCTAACAATAACAAAATCCCTTCACTGGTTCCTGTGTGAATCTACCCTAAATATTCTGTCTAAGGAAATACTTAAGGCACAGAAGTAGATGTTCATTTTTCCAAAGTTCTGCATTAACCTTCACTTAACTAAATATTTTCCAAACACAATTTGGCAGCCTAATTAGAAGTCACTATAATACTGATGCCTTATGGATATTTTTATCTCCTCCCTCCCCGGCTGTAACATCTTTCAGTGAGTTAATGTTGAATATAGTTTGCTCTCGATTCTGTGAATGATGCTCTGAGCATTTGCCAGAAAGATTGTCTTGGCGCAGACTTGAGAAGCAATGAAACTCTATTTCTTATCTGTTGTTTTTTTAAAAAATCTGTCCTGCTTTATGCAAGTAGATCTGCCTAACGTGATTAGCTACATTATTTTTAAAAGTATTATATGCAAAAGTCTAAAGTCAGAATCTTTAATTATTCAGATTTGCTTTACTTAATCCAGAGACAACTTTAATTAAAATACTACCATAAAAATTTAGCGAAGCGAGACTTTGTATGTCGCTGATATATTGCTTATTCTCCAAATGGCTTTTTATTAAATAATTGAAGTTTGCGCTCATTCTTGGCCTGCTGTTTCCTCTCCCTCTCTTTTTTCCAGACAAAGCATCTTTTTACCCTCTGATAGATGTAAACTGGTGGTCTGAGAGTGCTGTTATTTTGGCTCGCGGTTCAGGCGCTCTGACAGTGTCCTCGGTGAAGACACTGAAAAACCTGTTAGGGAAGTCCTGTGAGTGGTTTGAAAGTTCCCCTCAGGTCACTTTGGCACATGATGGAGGATTCCTAAGTCTGGAGGTAGGAAGTGTCAGTTTATGATATGTCACAAGGGTCAACATTTCCAATATGTAAAGCACTGCTTCTTTCAATCCTCCTGGTTGTAAAAAATCTTTTACTATTGTAATGGAGTAGTTATAGTCCAGTTAGATCATTTTAAACAAATCGGATATTCTTGGTGCTGAATCCAGTTTAATGTAAAACTTAATCAAGAAGGATTGTTCATAAAACTGCTAGGTAAGCATGGTAATGTAGAGATTCCAGTGTTAGTTCTGTTGGCACCTCACAGAATCATGCCCTTTTCTCTGCCATGGATATTTGCTGGGTGACAGGGTGCCTGGCACACACTCCCAGCTGATGTGCTGATACTCCACCCATTGTAATAACCTGGCTCTGGATGCTTGAGAGGAAATTCATTTTCTGATAATGGTTATTTTTGCTCCCAGCTCCTTTGAGAATTGAGGTTACTTATTGCCTCCTGGTGTCCTGAAGCCTAGCAGACTTAAGTGTGATGCATTGCCCTGTTTAGTAAGAATTGCTTTCCTTGTAGTGTGAAGTAAAGTTGGCTCCGAAGAGATTGCGCTTGGAGAGCAGACCTGGGGATGAAGATGGAGGAGAGGATGACTCTGATTCGGATGATGAAAGTTCCACCAAGGCCCAGTATTTTGGCTACGTAAAGCAAGCCCTGTACTTTGTTACTGAAATGGAGCGGTTTGCGCCTCCACGGAAACGTCCACGCACTATTATAAAAAATTATCGCCTTGTGAACTTGAGATCCACAACTCCAGAGGAGCTGTACCAAAGAAAGGTAAAGATGAGATATTTTCGACTTTCCCCTCCTCTGCAAATATTTATACACAATTATTTGTTTGGTTAGAATACCATACACAAGTCAACCTGTTCCTGAAAATTCATATACAAATATCTATGGGTTGTGGTGCATGTTATATTAATTTAAAATCTCCTTCCAGCAGAATATGTTTAGGATCTGTGGGTTATATGTTTATTAATTTTGTATTCACACCAGCGGCATATCCATATCTTTACAATATTTAGGAGTTGCGAGTAATGTACCATGAATAGCAGCTTGAAGTATCTGCGAGTTAAGAGCATATCAACTGAAAAAGCCTGTTATGTACCCCTTTCCCACTATTGTTTTGTTAGCCAATTAATGTGCAAGTGTTTTTGTTGTATATACTTTAGATATTTGCCTTTTGATATGAATCTACTATGGGAATTGACTGTTTTCTCCCGTACAGCCCTACCCAATTCACTATATTCTGACCCTTCTGTATGTCCACTAACAGAGATGATCTGGGTAACACCTCATCTTCTGTGGTGCCAGCCAGTCTGTAAAACAGATTAGACAAAGGTTATTTCATTTGACTTTTGATTAAGTTGATAATGTAGGTTGTTCTGATGTTGTTCCTCACTCTGGGTTTACTCTGACGTTGTTCTCTGATCTTGGTTTATTCTGTTTGTTACTGGAGTCTGCTTGTTTCATTCTCCTGCTGATGTTTAAAAATCTCCTGTTTTTGTTGTTGAACTGAACTGGAAAGGCAGATGTGATATTATATTTGGAAGATGAGATCCCCCCCCCCAAGCTTGTCATGTGATTGTAGTGTGAAACTAAACGTCATTGTGTTGCACATGAGTTATGTTTAATACTTGGGGAAATTGCCGCAAAACATGAAATGTGGTTGAAACGTGTTTACTATTTCTTCGAATAAACCCTAAATATTTGGTATCAAACTGAGGATGAGAATTGCTGGTTTTTGAAGTCTTGTAGTGGATCCCATGTAAGTAAATTTAATTTTGATACTTTTTTTTGAAGATTGATAATGAAGAATATGGGGAAGCTTTATCACTGGCTCAAGCATATGACCTTGATTCGGATCTTGTTTATCAGAGGCAGTGGAGGAAATCGGCTGTTAGCATTGCTTCTATTCAGGATTATCTGGTATGTTTTTGTGCTAGGAGGGTAGTCTTTTTTTTCCCTCTTCTTCATTTTCTGGCATATGCATGTTCCCAATTAGTGTAGAATGTGTTGTAAATAACTCTGTATTTAAAAACCCACTGAAGTAATTGGAAACAAGCATTCATGTAGGGAAGTAGATGTGATTGTCAGGTCACAATTGGAGATGGATAAGGGAAAAGTAATGGAACGTTTAACAACACAATCTAAGGAATCTTTAAGTGTACTACTTTACTCAGCAGGCTCCAATGATTTGCTTAAATCATTTCTTTTCCTTTTTTGATGGGGGACAGAGCAAAATTAATAAGCGTTCCTGGGTTCTTCACGAGTGCTTGGAAAGAGTTCCTGAGAATGTGGATGCTGCTAAAGAATTGCTGCAGTACGGCTTGAAGGGAACTGACCTGGAAGCTCTCATTGCCATAGGGAAAGGAGAAGATGGCGGCAGGTTTGAGATGGTGGATTTGTTAGTTCAGCTCCTTTCTCTTCCAGAAGTGGCTAACTGACATGAGGCAATTACTCTAACTGTCCTTAACTAATTCGTGGTTGAATGCCTATCAGGAGAGTACGAAGACATTTTCCATGTTGCTCTTGGATTCCACAGTCTCATGTCAAAATGGGTCTAACAAATATCTGGCTCCTTGAGCTGTCAAAGTAGTGAAATTACAGGTGTGGAAGAGTTGGATGCATGCCAAACACTATCTTAGACTGACCATTCAAAGTGTGAAAAATGTATGAAAAAATATAAGCAGTATTCTAGAAACTGGAAGATAATCATGCAGGACTGAATGAAGTCTTTTAAAGATGTCGTATGGGTAGCAGTGTCCATGTAGATTTCTCCGTCCGCCCAATCCCCTGGTGTCTCTAACATGCAGAGACAGAAAACAAACTGGGATGCGGACCTGACTTTGTCATAGCCCCCTGGCCCCTGTCCAGTGGTCCCAGATTCCTGTTCCCATGATGGTTGTAACACCCATGTCTCACGTTGCTCTAAATGATAACGTGAAACTAGAGTCAGGTGGATAGCTGTGTTGGTCTGAAGCAGTAGAACAAAGTTTGAGTCCAGTGGCACCTTTAAGACCAACAAAGTTTTATTCAAGGTGTGAGCGTTCGTGTGCATTCACTCTTTGTCAGACACTTCCTCAGGCACACGAAAGCTCACACCTTGAGTAAAACGTTGTTGGTCTGAAAGGTGCCACTGGACTCAAACTTCATGAAACTAGAGTGTTAAACTGGACAATGTTATACTGTTTGGCTTTGAATAGTAATAGAAGTAAAACAATAGCAAAAATCAATGTCTTATGATAATTAAAATTATTATTTAAAACATTTTTATGCTACCTTTCCACCCAATCAGGGTCCATAAGTCTGCTTGGTTTACTCCCTCTATATACCTACTTATAACATGTAGTTAATTTTTCAAGATCTTTACTATTGCTTGAAGAATGGCTAAATTTTAATTAATGAAGAACATTTTAAAAGTACAGTTTGGGAAGAAAATAGGATGTATCCCTCCCTACTCAGACTGTGAAAAGGTACACAAAGGGTAGTGAAGCCTGAAAGCTTGTCTCTAAAGAATTACTTTTGTTTGGTCCTATTCAGTTTAAAAGCTCTGTTGCAGTTTTAAAAGGTAGCTCTTCGTTCTTGGCCAAATAGTTCTTCATACTTTGCCTATCATTCTTCTTCTAGATTTATATTGCCAGGTGATGTGGACATTGACGGACTACTGTATGAAGAGTTTTTAACTCCTGAGGAAGAAGCAGAAAGTAGGAAGGAGCGTGAAGCCATGAAGCATCAAGAACTTCTTCTATCAGTAGACTTCTCTAAGTAAATGATGGGTTGTGCTCTGTGTCTCTTGTTATATATACAGGATTACCAAGGGAGCTGTCTTTTGATTCTGTTTTACTCGCAATGTTCCCTCTAAGCTGTGGAGTCTTGTGAGCAAAATTCTACTTTGTGAGCTACTGGCATTAAAGTTGTGAGCGAGCAATTTGGCTGTTACAAATACAAATACAATACCTTTATTGGCATAAAACAATTTGGCTGTTGCATAAATTAGTTTGCTCTGAAGCCATCCTTCCTGAGCTAAGACAAAAATGCGTGAGCCGGAGGCTAATAAACAGTGAGCTAGCTCACACTAATTCAGCTTAGAGGGAACACTGCTCCTGAGTGGATTGAGATTCACATTTTAAAATACGGTTCATGGAATCTTCCCTGCTTTCCTCTCCCTCCAGCTGTGCTGATGACAGAAGCATGAGGGGACCCATTTTGCCTCTTTGCCCCTCATGACTACAGCCCACCAGCCTGTTTGGCTGTTACTTCATATGTGCCCTCCTACCCCAGGAATCCACTCTTCTTGGGCCGGAAGGGACTGCTGGAGGGAGGAGAGGGAAGCATGGAAGGTCCACAACTGTCAGCACCTTCCACCGATAACTCACTGGATCTAGTCTCTGCAGTGCTCTTTGAAAGCAGTGTGATTTGCTGCAGTTCTCATTTTGGATTTTAAAAAGTGCAAACAAGTGTATTTGATCCAGCACTGATCCCATATAAATATATCCATAATTTTTAGATGTGTGTCTGTTTGAAATTAAGACAGTGCTGGAGGTGAAATCTACATTTGGATGCTTATCTGCCTGTACACGTTGATTTAGACTTTTTTTAATCCATTAAAGTACTTGTACCAGTTTTTCCATCCCAGAGACCTGCAAAGTGGTTTACGCTAATAAAACCAATTCAGATGCTATCAGTTAAAATACAAACAGAAAATTAATGAAAATATATTTGTTGTAATTTAAAAGGTAGGTCTTGGCTGGCAAAAAGCACTCCTGGCCATGATTGCTACTGGGTTGTTAATAAACTCTCTACTCATTGTTCCAAAGGTCCTTGTTTCTTGTCTAGACCAGAGATTCTGTACCACCTGCACCACTGCCCTACAGTGTCAGTCCCTGGGATGGGAGAGCTGTTCTTGAGAATGGTATTGAAGGGCCCCCTTGGGTTCCAGTATTGGGTAACTTCAGTATTCGCAGCAGTGTCCCTTATTTCAGTGCAGCTCAGGATTTCATGGCTGCCTTGGCCATCATGAGTATCGACCATACACGCATGCAACAACTCCTCACTATTACTTAATGTTTGACTGTTAACATGTTGGTTTGTTTGTTTGAAGAATTTCTAAAAACACATAAAAATGCCCCCTTTTCATTCTGAAAACAGGTTAACTTTGGAACAGAAAGAACTTTGTCGTAGCAGGTTGAAACTACTAACTTATTTGGATCGTCTAGCAACATATGAGGTATGGAAGATAGTTTTTAACCCATGGATTGCTGACATTGGGTTATAGGCAGAGGTCATTTCCTGTGGGAGCACTCAGGAGCGGAGCTCCGGCAGTAAGGAACCCAGGGGGTGGGCACATGCAACAATCACCGCACCCTGCTCCCAGCAGCCCTCAGTCAGGCCACAAGGAGCAAGAAGCAGCCAGGTAAGTTGCAGAGCCCCCCCCCCCGGCCCACCTTCAGGTAAAAGCTCTCCCTCCTTCTGTGAGGGCAGATCTGCGCGTTCCCCTCCCCCGCAATAGCTAGTAATCCAAAACAGTCCAGTAGAGCCTGAGCGGTGGGTGTTGCCTTCTGACACACTTCCGGTGATGTCAGGGGGTGTGGCATATGCAAATAAGTTCTGCAAATAAGTTATGCTAATGAGCTCCTGCACCTCTTTTTCTATGAAATGATCCCTGGTTATAGGTAACTAGAAATTAGGCCCGTTGTGGAAATAAATACAACGGGATCTAGAAAGAGGCTCTGGGAGAGTGCTCTGGCTTTGGGCAACCAGTGTCAGTCTGCTTTTAAAACATGAACCTGGGACCTGCACACCACCAGAATACAGCAGATTCCGTATGCAACTGACATTCCAACTGCCTTGTGGGGGGGTGGAGTTTGAGGTGTGGAATGGAGTGAAGTCCAATCAGCTTCCATATGCAAAAGACCAGGTTGTTGCAGCAGTTGTGGTGTGGGCGGGACCCGGGATTTGCCTTCTGATTGGTGGCGATATATGTTGAGGAGCAGTGCCATCAGCCATACGCTAAGGGAGTGCATTTTAGAATTAGAACTTTGGCACCCACTATTCAATTATATATAAGGAGAGATAGCTTTAGGATACTTCTATTTGTTATTATGAATTCAATGCTTTTCTGATTTTCATTGCTTATAAGCCATGATTCAGACAGCAGTAGGGCTGTTTTCTGACAATTGTTACCATGTGTGCAGGTGTGTATTAGAATATTCTCCCTTACTCTCACCTTCCCTGCTTTCTTCTCACAAGCAATACTGTAGAGTCTCCAAGTATTTAAAACTTCATTGTGGTTTGTTTATGAAAAGATATGGGTATGTCTCCATTTGTACTACTGTGAAAATGTACAAAGTGTTCATCACACATATGGGAGCCCTCTTGCTCAGTTCACTGTACTGTGACATTAAAACACTGCAGCCAGTTTTTGGGTTATGAAAAATTGTTGGAATTCCTCAGACAGCTACACTGTGGATAATAATGAATTGGCTATTGTCTCCATTCCAAATAGATTAGTTGATTTGTTTCTCTTTGCATCGATCAGGAGAGAACTGTGATATAAAATTTTTGATTGCTTTGCTGTATATCTTAGGAAGCAGTGAGGATGTTTGAGAAACTGATAACAATTCTGAAGTATTTTAAAAATGGTTTTTCTTCAGGAAATACTTGGAGGCCCACATGCTGCTGAGCAGAGATACGATGCTGAATTCTTCAAGAAGTTCCGAAACCAGAATATTATTCTTTCTGCAAGAACGTATGCTCGGGTATTTAATACTCTTGAAGCTTTCTAATAAAGGACTGTTAAACAGATGTTTTGATAGTATGGCTGCTGCCATCATATCAAGTGGTCCATTTGTGTAATGCTATTTGCTGTAGAAAAAGTAGGTCTCATTAGAAAGAGATCCTGGAGAGCCACTGCCAGTCTTGGTAGGCAGTACTGACCTTGGTAGGTCAAAGGTCCAACTCAGTATTAGGCAGCTTTTGTCCTCTTTCTGTCATACATGGTAAAATGTATCTTTTCCATTGGTTGTTATCTCCATGTTATTTCTTTCATCTTCAGTCTTCTGTGCAGTCCCACATTGGGACTGTGTTTGCGCAGGCCAGCCATCGGAGGCTCTCTTACAGCTAGTCTGGTATATTTTTAACACTTCAAGGGGAGTCCCTCCCCTTCAGAGCTCGTTACAGGCCGTCTTCCCGCCTGACAGTCACATGCTATACCGTGAGGAGCCCTCTCTCCCTCAGTCCTTTCACCGCCACTGCGTTGTGAGGATGTGTTGTCTTCAGCTCTGGTCGTAGTGAGTTTTTCTCAAAGTTTCTTTGCTCCTGGGGTCTCTCCCCTATTTGGGGAATGTTGCAGAAGGCTTTATTTAAGAAATGTACCCAAAGTGTTACAGAAATGACCCATTCAAATGAACACCTTCTCTGCCTTTTCTGCTTGAGTGAGGCCCATAACACATCCATGTGCAAGATTTTCCTCCAATTTAACCCCCATTCAGATCGAGCAGTGTGCTTAAAAGTAAGCTTATGGGAGAGAATGCTCTCTTGCTGTAGTAGCCAGGCAGTGTAGTAGCCAGGCAGTGCCTTGGCAGAGCGTAGTCAAGTCCTTGCCTTTGAAATCACCGGTTTAAACTGACCAACTTGTGAGTCTGCCATTGAGCATCTCGGTTCCATCAGTCCTGGGGACGGAACCGAAGCATCAGGTCCAATTGCCTGTCCATTTGGCTGAAAGCTGCATGTCAAAACCCCTGCCCAAGAAAGCCCATTCCAAATCTAAACATAAGGAGAAACATCATTCCAGCTCCAAGACACTCCTGGAATCGATTATTGCTTTGGTTCCAGTCAAAACTGTCTTCAGTTCCAGCGAAATGGAGGGAAATCTCCCCACCACAAACTCCTTCTCCCCGGCTCATTTGTTCTCAGAAGGGGAGATAGAGCCTGGCCAAGGCGCATTGGTGGTTCCAGCAGCTAGTTGTCCATTGGAACCATCCTCTCCTGCGTCGTGGCAGAGTTCTATGCTTCTGCCTCCTTGGCACGGCTACCTGTATTATTTTTCTTAGCTTAGACCTCAAGAATGGGGCAACTGGCAATTGCAAAAGGCACCTCCAGAACCGAGGCACCCCTCTTCATGGAACTGTGAAGCTGAGGACCCACCAGTTTGGTATCTTCCCGCAGTCTCTCCACACCCCCTTATGGGGCATTCGGATTCTGAGGAAGAGCAGGTTTTGAGGACTAACTCCCTCTCTGGTCCAGGCTCAGACTTACTGTCGGACCCCTCCCCTGATGACACTGTAGGGGACCCTGATCCAGTGTCACCGAATGAAAATCTGAAGCTCTACACAGAGTAAATGATGCAGATGGCTAAATCATTGGAAAGAGAGGTGACCTCTAGCAACCCAAGACCTCGACATACGTTCTTAGGCAAGCTCTATGCAGAGTCTCCCAGGGTAGTCACCTTCTGTATTTTAGAGGGTGCTGCTGACATCTCCAAGGCCCTCTGGCAAAAGCCAGCTAGTATGGCGGCCACATCCAAGAAGGTGGAGAATTTATACAGCGTGCAACAAGAAGGTCATGCCTGTTCTGCCATCCTCCAGCTTCATCCCCCATAGCTGAGGAGATGCAGGTGAAACAGTGTACAGGCGCATTTTCCTCACCAGTTGATCTCTATTTCACTCTAACGGTGAAAAATTGATGCAGCTAGTAGAAAAGTTTACTTTTCTGCTGCACTCAACCTGCTCATTGCCAACTCTAGTGCAATTATCAGAGGATACTAGTTGTTCCTCTGGGAAAAGATGGCTGCTTATATAGAGCTTTGTCCTGAAGACAAGAAGCCTCTGGCTAAACTTCTCCAAGCTGAAGCATGATGACTATCCAAGCAACAGATTAATGCAGGCAGACACGGCAATGACTCCTCCTCTAGGGTTGTGGCTTTAGTGCTCGAACTGAGAAGACATGCTTGGCTGCGCTCCACAGCTTTTCTCCTTGATACATGGCAGAAGGTGGAAGACCTTCCATTTGAGGGAACGACACTATTTGCTTTGTCAACTGATGATCTTTTAGCCCAAATTAAAAAGAAAAAGCAAACGGCTCATTCATTTGACATCACAGCAGGCCCTGCCACTCTGTACAGGCCTTGGCAGACATATAGGTTCCACCAGTCGCAGTCGCCATACTCTCGGCACTCACACCAGCAGCCTGGCTCCTCACAGTATCCTACCACAGTGGCCCTTTTCCAGGTTCATGGCACAGGGCAGGTGCAGGTCCAACCACAGAGCTAGACATTTGGTTGTGCAACATCAGCCACTTCCTAAAGAGGCACAACAGGCTCCTTTCTGACTAGGGCCTGTAGTAGATCAGCCACCTACCATCTTTAAAGACAGGTTGGCTGCTTTCAGTGACAAATGTCCGGAAATCACTCATGTCACTTGGGTTTTGTCAATTGTTGCTTTGAGTTATAGATTAGAGTTTCCCTCCAACATCCTGCAAATGCAGTCCCAATGTGTGCCTGCACAGAAGACACCTTGATGAACAATAGTTACAGGTAAGTGCAACACTGTTTTTCCATGGTTTCATGCCATGCCACTGATGCAAAGTCTGAAGACCTCGGTCCTACTAATCTACTTGTTGAAGGGCCCTGAGATTTTAACAAGTGTTGTATATGTCTGCTTGGTAGTTTCTTTTTTTCATTCACTACATTAATGAAGAATCTCTAGTTTTAACTCTTAAGATTTTTGCCAGATTAGTTGCTGTGTATAAGGAGAGTGTATAGTCCTTTTTTTTTCCCTAAAAGAGAATTTTACAGTCGTCATAATTTTGGGTATGGTTCTTTAGGAACCAGAATGGTCCAGTAGCTGTCTCCTGAATATTAAAACTGAACTATTTGTACAGGAAAGCAACGTAAGAGCCCTGGAGATTTTGTTCACATACCATGGATCAGACTTGCTTCCCCATCGATTGGCAATTCTCTCTAATTTTCCAGAGACCACCTCTCCACATGAATATTCCTTTTTGCTGCCTGAAGCTTGGTAAGTGCATACTTGCTGAATATCAGTGCAAGACTTTAATTTTACCTCCCTCCCTCCTGAAATCTTTGGGATTTTAGTGAACAATGACAATTAGTTTTCTTAAAGAGTCAGTCCAAAAGCAATGCCTGTGCAGGCAAGAGAGAGTCAGTAAATAGATTTCTAGCTAAATATTGCCCTGTTCAGTGGACAGCAGATAGAATGGTAACAGAGAGGCAGCCATGATTAAGAAATTGGGTGGCAGCCAGTGCTCCCTCTACGCTGTGGAGTCTTATAAGCAAAAGTTCTACTTTGTGAGCTACTGGCATTAAAGTTGTGAGCGAGCGATTTGACTGTTGCATAAATTAGTTTGCTCTGGAGCCCTCCTTCCTGAGCTAAGACAAAAATGTGTGAGCTGTAGGCTAAAAAAATGTGAGCTAGCTCACACTGACTAAGCTTAGAGGGAACACTGCAGCCTCACGAATGTAAACACTACTTTTTCTAAACCATTCTCTTGAATGTTCTCTTCTCCCATCTTAGTGACTTTAATGTACAGCTTAGATCAGCGCCGGTGTTCCAGTAACGCTAACCAGGGTTTGGATTTAACTGGATGTGAAACTGCAGTTCTTTGAGCTGAGTTCATATTTTGGTTAGATGGAAGTTCTGAGTAGCATAAACAGCAGTTAAGCTCTGACCTGGCAATTCTTTAAACCAGGGCTCTTTTTGTAGAAAAAGTCCAGCAGGAACTCATTAGCATAATAGACCACACCCAAAGCAGAAACTCATAAGCATATTAGGCCACACCCCTGACAACACAGCTCATTAGCATATTAGGCCACACCCCCATGTTACCAGAAGTGTAGTCATCCAGCCACACCCACCTTTTGCTTCTTATTCTGTTTACCCTGTTTGTTGCCAAAACCCAGGGCTTTTCTTGTAGCAGGAACTTCTTTGCATGTTAGGCCACACACCCCTAACGTAGCCAATCCTAATGAGTTTCTGCTGTTGGGTTTGGCCTATTATGCGAATGAGTTCCTGCTGGGCGTGGTCAACTTGGGAGCCAGCAGGAACTCTGTTCCTGTGCGTTCCTGCCCAAAAATAGCCCTGCTTTAAACAATGGTTCAGGAGGAGAGATTTTTCTCAGAAAGAGGAGCATGGATTCTTGAGTTTGGATCCTGCTGTTTTAACAGTGAATAAGACGAAACCAGAGTTAGAGCTGTATTGTAAGTCATAAGAGATGAACAGATGTATGTGACATGCATAAAAGAAATGAAAGTTTTTCTTGGGCTGTAAAAGCCACTGCATTTGTGTAGATTAGACTGCTTGTTTTCTCTGGATACTTGGGATCAGACTGCTTGCTTAATTCTGAAGTACATAGGGTTATTATTCTTGTCATCTTCAATTTCTGCTTCTTGCTTATACAGCAGTTCTGAAATGTTAATTTGGTATTTCGTGTTGCAACACTGGGTCAACAAATGGAGTAACGCTTCCCCCCCCCTTCAAAAAGTGATTGGTAAATCTGCCTTTTGAAATTAAGCCAGTCTAAAATGTTTCACTACAAACGGTAAGCACAGGTGCTTTTGCTGGAGAACATCTGTCTCTGAAAGGCACACGTGTACTAAGCTACAAATAGAATACCTATTGTCTGAAGTTGTTTTGTGTTTGCATATTAGTTGTAGAAATAGACTTGAAGCACATTGCTGGAAGCCTGAAAATCAGACTTGGAAAGATTGCAAAGGTCTCTGCATAATCACTAAATGTTAAGTTTTTATCTAAAAAAGATGGTTTTGAGGTAAACATGGTGATTATTTCTGCTGAGTGTCTGTATATATGGCACGTGGGGCCGGGAGGCACCCATACTGTTTTCTGTTTCCCCCCCTGAAAAATACATGCATTAAAGGCTCTATATAAACTATGCATGCTGAAGATGCATGAGCTCTCCCCAAATAGACAAGAGCGAATGGAGCAGCCCTTGCTTGCGCACACCATTGGATTCCTTTTTACTGTTCCAGGAAACAGATCTGCATTTTCATACCAGTTATGGCATTATTAGCTCTCAGTCATATGATTACCTTTGTTCATGGGCTGATTATTTTGCCATTGAAGAAGGTGTGTGAATATATTACTACTACTACTACTACTACTACTACTACTACTACTACTACTACTACTACTACTACTACTACTACATTTCTACCAAAGTACAAACCTTGACAGAGATTGGCTTTAGCACTGAAAAAACAAAACTCTTAATTAAAAAAATCTCAGGAATTTTTTTAGTAAGTGAAATGTGCTAAGATAGCAGAAGATACATCAGTTTGCAGCTTCTTGTACTTCATTGTATTTGTATTTTTCCCTTTAGAAGACTAAGGCATTGGTACTTCTAACTTCTATTAATATATTGGTTAATACAACTAAGTTATAAATTAGGCATTTTATGTTCTTAAAGCAGCAGCGTCACTTTAGGTTTGACAGGAAAGTTAGTATTGCATTTATATTTATTTTCTCTCAAATCCCCATGTATTTTTATAATTAAAATCCCCCTGCAGTTTTATAATTTTTGAACGTTTTATATTGCAATAAAAAGCAACAAAACAAATCTTCCCATTTTCTTGAGTCATATATCTTTACCCATTCTTTTCCTTCAACGAATAATTATTTAATTCCTGTGTTCCTCAAACATTTTTGCCAGATTTCTAAATTAAAATAGCATCTGGGATTTTGTTTTTACTTTTCTTTAGTACCCGCTTTTCCTGCATAATTTCAAAAGGCTGTTTGGCCCTTTCGCTTTTTGCATTGAGTACAGTGAACTCCATTGAAAGCATTACATGGTTTTAACAGCTCTATAAAAGATCTAGTGCAAGTCAGTATATGAGGGATAGATTTACTTCATCGCTGCATTATTATAAATGTGATGAACATTGTATCCTTTGATACATACTGAATACTGCACTGTCTGACTCTGCAGGCAAACAGGGTTAGGTGTGCTGGTAATATTTGGGTGCTGTGTTGAATAAGGACATTTTAGATCAGAGGTGTCGAACTCATTAGTTACGAGGGTTGGATCTGACATAAATGTCATTTTGTAGGGCCGGGCCATATGTGCCATAAAATGTAATTCCAGGTACCGGAGATATAAACTGTATAAAGGACAGCAGCTAGTAAGCTCCAAGTTGGTGTATCCTCACTGCAAGGCCCCATGGACTGGGAGCGGGGGTGCAAAGGAAAACCCATATGGGCAAACTGGAGAGCCAGCAGTGCAGCACTGGGCAGATGCCCCCACATTGCTTGACTGTTGCAGATGAGGTTGTTATGCCATGCTGAAGCCACAATCATAGTGGCTCTGCCCACTCCCCCCCCCCCAGTCTCCTGTTCCCTCCCTTGCACCAGTTGCTTGCAGGCAGCATAAGAGCCCTGGACGAGCCAGTTTTGGCCCCCGGGCCTTATGTTTGACACCCCTGTTTTAGATTGCTCTGTTACAGTTCACACTTGAAGTGAGCCAAAACCACTCTTGCTGTTCAGTTTCTGTGGCTGCCTCTTTTCACTTCTCTGTGTTGCTAGATTTCATCTGTATTTATGCTTCTCCTCTCCACCCTGGCATTGTGGCTAACTTTTTTATCAGAGGTTATGTAGTGCTTGAAAGATAAACATGAAGAGCCAAAGAATGCACATGTGTATGTGTGCCTCCCACCTTACATTGAGTACAGACCTTTTTAGTATGAGTTTTGCCATTACTGAAAAGGTGAATGTAAAAAACTTAACTGTACCCTAACTTACATGGCTCCTTAACTTGACAACCTGGAAAATACTTTTATACTGTTTCATTTAGGGTAGGTGCAGCATGTTGTAATTTTTAGCATACATAATGACTCAAAATAAAATCCTTATTTCCAAGCTCTTATTTTCCATTATGTTCCCATCTCGGTTCCTTCAAAGAATGTGCAGGCTTTAAAAGATAACGGGTTTTAAAGCATTATTAACCTTCCAAAGGAAGAAGTGTTTGCCGGTGTAAATTATAAGATTTTATTAGATTTTATACAGCCTAATTCAGTCCATGATAGCTTCTTGCTTCTATTGAGTTGCAGTCTTTTAAAGTAAGTTTATAGGACCTTTTTAACAGCATATTTTTACATCTTGGAATGCAGCATTGTCACATACAGGAATACTAATGTGGAGTGAGTGGAGAAATGAGATTACGGTAGTACATCCAATCCAGTTCTGTCATTCTAGCGAAAAGCCAATTAGACAACCTAATCAAAATTTAGTTCCTGAATGTTATGTTGTTCCTAAGTAGCTTTTTAAAGAAATATTGCACATAAATCAAACAAACAACCTTCCCTGACAACCCTGTCCTCAAAAGTACAAAGTCAAGTGCATTTTAAGTTCTCTTTTAATGTAACGTTTTTATAAGGAAAAAAGAGTGCAATTTGAAAATGCCCATGCTGGTCTACTTAAAATCTAAAATCTAGTGTACAGCAATTCGTTGATTGTTGGAATATTCTGGCTGCAAAGGGTTACAACTACTTGCACTGATTTTTTTGATTGAGTATTTGAATATACGACCAAAAACAAATGTTTTTCCTTATCTTACCCAAATTATTTTGTTCTGGAAATACAGGTCAAAAATTTATGGGCAACAATTTCCCGACATTAAGACATGAGATATTTTCATTAAACGGTGTAACATAATATCTTTTGTAAGAATAGAACACAGGATATTTTAATACACTCCTATCAGAGAACCAACCATGATGGATCTGTGGGGAGGGCCCATGGTTCAGTGGCAGACCACCTCCTTGGCATGCAGAAAGTTCGATCTCTGGTAAATCCAGTTCAAAGGAATATAAGGTAGCTTTGTGTGTGTGGACATCATAAGAACATACGAGATGCCAATGTTGGATCAGGCCAAAGGCCCATCCAGTCCAACACTCTGTATCACACAGTGGCCAGAAATACCAGTGCCATCAGGAGGTCCACCAGTGGGGCCAGGACATTAGAAGCCCTCCCACTGTTGAGCCCCCCCA